GAGGGAGGCATCCTTTGGTCCCAAGATTTAACGCGACTGCATACACAAGGCAGAATTCAAACTCCCGACCTTGACCTTGCTTAAGCGTGGATCAACCCCTACCGCTAAACCACACGCTTGAGATTTAAAACTAATCATATTTATATATATATATATATATATATATATATACTCAATTAAAAGATAAAAAAAGAGAAAAATGGTTTGCACCAAATTCTACGGATTCAAATTAAGAGCAATGCAACAATTAAAATTTAGTCAGATAGGACAATTAAGTATAAATAGTTAATTTGATTAATCGTAATTTGTGTCAAATCAATAATTGAATGATTATCAATAGATGTATTTAATATGAATTTGGAAGTGTAAATGTAAAAATTAAAATGTGTAACATTGGGAATTTTTACTTGCTTTTCAACCTATTTTATAAAAATATACATTTATCGTAACTTTTTCTCCACAAAATGAAACTTGTTTGATAGTGAGTACCGAGTTGTGTACGGTAGAAAATGTACCTCTCCATTTCTTTATCTTTTTTAAAAATTAATAAAATAAAATTGATAAAGTGAATTATTCTTTTTTTAGAAAGTGTGAGATTTATATTTTTAAACTTAAAAAATAAAAGAAATAAAGAGAAAATGAAATGAAAATTAGTGATGTACAGTATCGTGTCAGTATAGAGTATGCAGCCAAATTTGCGTGTCTTCAGCAAAGTCTTTTGTCGGAAACTGCATAGAGCAACCAAAACGAAGGAAACTTAACCCCTGTATCTGCATGGCAAATGGTAATACCCTATCCCACGTGTCCTATTCCACCACATTTACCATAATACCCATCTTCTAAAACCTAATAATTCTAACACAATCTTTTGGATATAATCAAAATTCAGTGACTGGTAAGAATAATATTGTGACCATCCAATAAAAAAAGTTGTTTTTTTTTTATTATATCGTTAATTTTTTTTTTAAAAAAGTTTGATTAGTTTTTTACTACTTGAAAGTATATATATATATATATAATCAATTTTCGGTGGTTTTAAAATTTCTAGAAACCTAATTAGAAAAATTACATAATTAATCAAACATTGATTAAAAAAAATTAGTTAAAAATTATATTTAAAATTTCTCGAATAATTCAATCAGTTACTTATTAATTTAACCTAAACTGAACTTAGAATTTAATTGAAAATATTCATAAAATAAAGATTTTGTATACTATCAATTAATTATAGATATTGTTATATCATTAAAATCATTGATTTAAATATTTGATATAATTATTTAAAATCATACTTCTTTAAGTATCTTCTAAGTTCTAATTATTTGATATTATATTTTATTTACATAAAGAATTTAGCAAAATCACTGTATTGAGGAATTAGTCATTGAATTTTGATCAGATACCTTGGATTCACTTCAAAATAATTTATCAGATCACATTCCAAATTATTATTATATAAATTTTTTATAATAGAATAGAATGAAATGTATAATAAAAAAAAACGTGATTTCACTTTTTAAATTGAACGAAAATATTGTGAATCTTACCATATTTGACTTTAAGTTTTGTTAAGAGCAGTAGTTAAAGTGAATTAATATATTGCATTAAATATTTTAAATTATTGAGTTGTTAACTCTATTTCACGAGTATTAATAGTTATTACTATTAAATATAACAATCTATTATATCAAAGAAGAATCTTCTAAATTTTGAGTTTTAATGTTAACAAAATAAAGTGTTATATAGAATAAATGTATACTAAAACATCTTTAAAACATATTTTTAAAAAATTTATTAGATGAAGTATAAGACATAAATTGTTAGACAATTATTAATTATACAAAATATATAATTTATTATATATATATATATATATATTAAATATTTATTATTTATTGAGATTAATAATAATATTCATTTTAAATGTTTCATTTCTTAACAGATTGAATTAAAAGACTATCTCGAAACTCACAAATTTGTTAAAAAGAAGAATCATGTTTTTTGTCGGAACCAAATTCTTGAAATTACGGAGAAAATCATATAAGAGATAATATTATTTGGTGAAATGTATTTAATAATCGTATTAAATATGTCAAATGGTTACTTTTCACACAAGAAAAATGATGAAGATAAACGAAATAAACTTATGAGCTGAATTCATTATAATAATCATCTTCTCTAGCTTGTTATATAAGAAGTTTCCAAAGCATAAGAAACATAAATGAGATATATACTTGTAAAGAAACTCATTTTCTAATAAAAATCCATTATTTCTTATAAATATTTATTGTTCTATAAATTGGTTATATAACGTTTAAGTGAGATAAACATAACATTTGTATAACTTTTATAACCATTGTTATAAGATTGAGTTTAGAGAGACTTATTTATAAAATAATATTTATTTTGAGCTTGGAGATGTTTGTTTGTAAAAAAATACTTGTTTTAAATTTGGAGAGAATTACTATAAAACTTGGATGTTAAGTTTAAAGAGATTTGTTGTTCAAATAATATTTGAATAGTTGTTTGAAGAAGTAAATCAGGTTGATCAAAAAATGATTTGTTAAAAGAATACTTGCATCTTTGTTTAAAGATAATAAAATTCAATCAGGTTAGATTAAAAATTAGACATAATCTTCGTAGTTAAGACGAACTAATATAAAAAGACCCAGTATTTCATCTAATTACTCTTCTTACTTCATCTAACTACCGTTATTATCTCACTGTGCGAGTTTTTAATATTCAACCCCTTTTTAGTATTTATATTTTTTCCACACAATTACTTAAAGTAAAAAGTATATTTAAAATAAACTTAATATATGATAAAATTCTTAAAAAATAATCATTGTAATTATTAAGTATGTTACTTATAATTAAGATGAGAAGTAATATTAAATAGAAATATTTTAAATTGAACCTACTAACATTGTAGTCCGGAGAGAATGAGTTATGGTCCAGTTATTATCTAAAGTCGTCTGCATATGTTATTTAACTGTTTGATCCCGTCTTTAAGGATGAAATAGTATTTAAGGTATTATTTTATCATTAGAATCAGTCAGTATGATTCCCTAATTATGCTAGAAATTAGAAAATATATAAATTAGTTTTGTTTAGCAATGAGCAACTGACAATTATTGATTTCACCCATATGTTCTTAGCATAATTTTTACACTCCTGTGTAAGTGTAATTATGGGTATCGTATGGTATGATAAAATGCAGGGAGAGAGTACTTTTTGATTGCATTGGATTGACTGAGTCTTTGCCTTGTTTCATAAGATAGCGAGCACAATAGGTTAGACATACTGAGTTAGGACAGAACAGAACAGAACCAAAAAGGAAACAAATTAATAACCAGTGCATGTGTGTCAGTCAGACAAGGTCAAACTTTTCTTATTTTAAAACCACACTGTGCTGTGGACTCTCCATATTCAATTCAGTGCTTGCAAATCTTCTCTGAGTTCAGTGCCTTGCCCTTGGCCATGGGAAGAGCTCCATGTTGTGACAAAGCTAACGTCAAAAGAGGTCCTTGGTCTCCTCAAGAAGATGAAACTCTCAAAAATTACCTCATGAAACATGGGACTGCTGGTAACTGGATTACTCTACCACAAAAAGCAGGTTTTTCTTCTCTTCTTTTATTTTCAACTTGTTTTAGATGTGTTAGTTACTTAGTTTTGTTTTCAATATTTTGTATTTGTTTTCTTTTATCTTAGGCCTTAAGCGCTGTGGAAAGAGTTGTCGTCTGAGATGGCTCAACTATCTCAGGCCTCATATCAAGCATGGAGGTTTCACTGATGAGGAAGACCAACTTATCTGCACCCTTTATGCCACCATCGGAAGCAGGCAAGTCCATTCTTTCTTTCTAAATCCTTAACAAGTCAAAAGTATAACCAAGAAATTAAAAGAGAAATTCAAGGGTCTTGTTTTTGTTAACTCTCTCTTCCGTAGTATACTCTAACTCGTTTTAAATGTTGGCCATGTACCAAAACCAAAGATTTCTAAGGGTATATATGTTGCAACTCTCTTAACAAAAATGCACAAATCATATGATATATCTATTGATAACATATTTTAGAATGCTTTGTTTTGCTTGTTATTCCTTTTGCCATTACATATCAGTATATCACCAAATGAGTATATGCTGTGTTTTTTTGGGCTAGGTGGTCCCTTATAGCTGCACAATTACCTGGGAGAACAGACAATGATGTGAAAAACCATTGGAACACTAAGTTAAAGAAAAAGTTTTTGGCCGAAAACACCAATGCCACTGTTTGTCCACAGTTCTCAACTTCCACTCCTCAGCCTCAAGTTGAAGATCATGTTTTTGATCATAAGAACTCATCTGAGTCCCATGTTCTACGTTTTGAGCAAACACCAATTCCAAATCCTTCACCATTGCCTTTAGGATCAGATGTTTCAGGTCTTGGCAGCAGTTTTAGTGCACCACTACCCAATGAAGTTTCACTTCTTTCAAATTCAATTTCCTTGGTAAAAGAGGAGAATGAGACCCAATGGTTTGGCTACCATGACAACATTGAAGGTGAAGCATTTTTGCTTGATTTTGTGTATGAAGATCTGCTGCATAATGGGTTTGTTTCTCAAGATTGAAGCAGTGGAATTGCCCCATCATTTGGTTAACCAAAGGCTCTCTCTCAAAACCAACACCATCTCAGAAAGAAAGTGACATATTACGTCAAAGTGTCATGGATTGATTTCATTATTGACTATAGTATTAGTACCAGTAATTAATTAAATACCCTTCAAATGTGGACTTTAATTAAAGTAGTTATTAGGTGTGTAAGGAATTATGCGAGCTTTTGTGGGTGAATTTCAAACATGATGATAGAAAGATCGCTGAAGTTACATTTTAGTCAAATATTCTAGTGCCTTTTTACTTTTAAGAGGAAATCTCATTGATATGGAATTCTCTTTTATGTCATATAGTTTGTTTTATCATGATGTAGGGACTTTAAACTAACATTCAAAGGTTCATGAATGTGGATGGGATTGCACGTAGGTCTCAGTGGCCACTGGTCACGGAAATTGCGTTGGTTCTTGAATATTTTCTAAGCAGAGAAAAAAAACAAATTAAGGGGTCCCCATCTGACAATAACAGCTACATAGACGAATCGTGATAGTGTGTCTCTTTCTCCATTATCACATGTAATATGGTGAAAAACAATCCTGCATGATTTCTTTCACATAAGCTTACGTGTTTACTCTAAAAGTTAGTTTGTTTTTGTTGTTTTTCACATGAATCAGTCTCGGGCATATAACTTCCGGAATACTATTTCATGTGCAGTTGTTTGATTGCATTAATGTCTCCGATGCTATGATTTTTAAATGAATTTTTAAGTTTTCTTTAACCCTACAATATCATATCAGATTTAAAAACTTCAAACAAATTTTATTTCAATACAAGACTTCTTAATATAATTCTTAAGTTACTTTTTGTTGATTTCCTAAGATATAAGATATTTCGAACTAGTGTACTTTAATTAGTGTCGGTAAACATTATTAAATGCATATGCCGTATATGTTAAAGATCATCTTGCATCTCTTTTTTAACTGGGAAGGTACACACTGAACCATCAAATAAAACAGTTTGCGCGGTTTATTTTCTGATTCTCCAATATTATCATAAGGGATATTTAATTTGAGGAATGCAACATATAGGATATTACTATGAAGATATATAGGAAGGTAAACAAGAATCCAACAAAATGAAAATTTCTCATGGGTATGTGAAAGATAGGTTTCCTCTCTTCCCTTCTACTGAAGATTTTGTCACCAGTTTTGCTGATTGTTAATAGACTTTCCTCAATTTGTACCCGGTCTTCACAATTTATTGTCTCGTGTAATTCAATTATAAATTAGAATAATATAAAGTAAATTTATTGAATTTTACATTAACTACCTTATGATTCATATGATGTGATTTTTGATATATTGGTTAACTTATATATAGTCATTAAACTCAAATAATTAATATACTGACATTTCTTCGTCAGCAAAAAATTTAGGATCGGATGATCAAATAGGAAAAATTAGTATCTCGAAATAAAACAAACTAAGATTCAAAAAATTTTTTTTTTGCTAGAAATTATATGCTTATATATAATGTGCAATACACTTCAAACATGATTGATTCCAAAGAAGGATAAATGTGAGAAGAAAAAGAAAATCTAATCTGCAATCTTCTAATCAACCTGTTACAAATTTCAAAGGACAGAAATTAGTGCTTTCTAAAGGCAGCGCCATTTGTCTGACATAAATAGTGTAAACAATTTGATTGGTAATCCCGATGCAAGAAGTCAAACTTATAATCTCGTTGCGACAGGGATTAAGATTTGAATGCAGTGAGTATACTAATTTAGTGTCGCAAGGTCTAACATAAAAAGATAAAATGAACAATAGTCTTGCACCCAATTAAGTGCTTATATATTCAGCAGATTTCCAATAAGTTGAACACCGACCAAATAAAAAGAGGGTTCAGTCCTAAAGTATGTTGCATATAAGTCAAGGCCTCAGTAAAGTCTGGTTTACTTGTCCTACATTTTTGAGTTCTCAGCATAGTTTGATGTAGACAACCTTGACCTTCACATTCTTTTGTAGACTCTTCTTAGTCAAAGAAACATCTTGGTTAATAAAGGTGTGGAATCAGAGCTAGTAGCACTAGCAGTGCTGGCATAACCCTACTTTGGATTTCTTAAATAAGGTATAAAGAATTCAGAATTAAATCTAGAGTATTCAAACTCGAATGAAAAATTATAAATCAATTCAAAAAATTATTAAAAACAGATAAAAATTGCAAATTTATAATTTTTTATTTTTCTAAATTGTGGTTGTTCAATTCAATTTTTGGATGAAAATATGAAATCGACCCAAATCAAACCGAATCATGATTATAAGTAAATATTTTTTCTTCTTCAAATGCATAGTGTAGGTATAACAAATTGACAATAACATAAAATGTGTTTTATAAGACTTTAAGCTACTAAATTGTAAGTTATCTCCAAATGTATATTATAATATATGTGATTTAAAAATTATTTTATAAAATTGTAAGTTATTAAATTGAATTTTAGAATGAAAATTTATGTATTTATAAGGTTCAAAATAATTTCATTTTAAGTAATACACTATATATGTGGAATTTTTTTTAATGCAATAACTAAAATTGTATTGAAAAAATTGCTTTCACTAAAATAATAAGATAAATATTGGTGGTAAATACATTAAGTAATTAAAAACTTTTCAGTATTTATATACTTTTAATTTTATTTTTTATGCACGGTGTTTAAATAAATAATATAATACTACATATTTTTAGTTAACTTTTAAATAACAAACTTTTAAAATGCAAAAAGTTGGTTTGATTTGAATTTTATAATACATTCAAACTGAATCACACTTATTTTTCTTATTTAGTTCAAGTGCTTTTAAGTTTTAAGACAAAAATTAAATTAAATTGCACTAAATATCCCTAATTAAATCCTCCTATATTAACATAATATGAATAAAAACAATATTTTTTTTCTTCTAAATTACTTTTTAGGCTCCTCATCTTATTTAATTGATTCAATTGAATCCTTTTATTATTAAAAGGTTTGATTTGATTCCTTAATTTTTTTAAAAAGATAATGCAATTTTTTTAATCTAATTGAAGCTAACAATATATTATAATAAAAAAAATGACACATGGCACTATGTATGAAAAAAAAATAGGTGTAGAAGTTTAATTTTTGTTAGAGAAAGATTATAAGGAGGCAATCTTAAATTCTCAATCATTGAACTTTTTTTTTTATTCATTAGTAAAATGACATTTTTTTACATTGTATGAAAAAGTTCAATCATTCAATATTATAAGAAGGTATAATATTATTCTTATAGACATTTCATCTTTTTATTAGAGTTAGCATAATAATAAAGAATTGAAGTAGATGTGTGAGAATTTATATCATTATTATTGTAATCTTTCTCATTGATAAAACAAAAATCACATCTCACTTAGTTTGAAACACAAGAACCGCATAAGAAAGAAAAACTTGGGAAAAAAACTTTAATTAAGACTCTCTTAGCTTTGAATCAACAAAGAAAAAAAAAGGATAAGGACTTACTAAGAAAAAAAAATCTTTAACTAAATATTTTGTCTCAATATTTTACGATTTCCTCTTTTTTGTCTCCTGTTTTTAAAATGGTTGTGTTATACCCTTTAAAAACATCTCTTCCCATGTAGTCCTTTTGCCATTCTTCCATTAGTTTTGTTCGTTAAATGCCCAAATGGTTGGTGGCATGATTACATGTTTGGATCAAATGAACCTATGTTGCAAATAAGATGTTGACGTAATTTTATGGGGACGGGATTAGGTATTTCTGTGTTGCCTACCATCCTTCACCTTATTGATAGGGTTTGTTTTAAAAAGAACTAGATCACTATTGTCAAACAATAATTAAAATTGAATCATTTTATGGTGTGGAATATCTTAAAAAGAATATCACAAAATTGAATCAATTTATGGACAAGGATTATCTTCATATTTGAGTGACTGGTGTGATTTTATGATACTCTTCATTGCATGAACTTTGATATCTTTTCATTTCCTCCTTACTTTAGGAGCACGTAGCTATAGTATATTTATTCAAACCAACCACATTCACTAGATTCTAGAAGAAGCGGGGAATTGAGGTCTTTAGATTGAGAGCTTCTAGTATTTATTCATTATCTTTAGAAACAATTTTTTTTCTTCCAAATGTAATGAATACAATATACACGATTAGATTTTTTCTATAATGAGATGTGTCTAGAGTTAATAAATAAGATGATTAGGTATTCTTGGCCCTCACAACTTTTAATTACTTTTTATCGTTTGTTGCATTGAAAACTTAGATATTAAAGTAAATGAAGACTTGATTTCTTAATATTCAACAATCATGCGACACAAATAATTCTCGTCATTTTTTATTTTGTCTTTAATAAATAACTATTATTAGTGATTTAAATTCATATAAAATGGACACTAAATTAATCCTAGTGGTCACATGGACACTTAATTATTTAATCTAGTCATTGATGTGCTGAAGCACATACAAAATATTTCCCTTAATTGTTTTTGTATTGTGTGTGGATAAATATAATTCAAAGTGAGGAATCGAAGAGATGTTAACTCTAAATACGAGCCTTTTGGAAATATACTTGCGAATCAAAAGATTTTTCCCTGAGATGCTCTTAGCAGAGAAATGCATTGAAAATACAAATTATTTACCAAACATTTTACTCAGTTTGAATTTATTTTTCTCTAAATCCCAATCATCGGAATTATGGATCATTGTTGAACCTACAAACTCGCGTTTCCGCAAATAATATTTCCTTTTTATTGCCGGACGAAAATATTTTTCCCTTTTTGAATGGAGATTGTAATAAACTAAGATATCCTCTGATCAGTGTGAAGAATAATATTTAAACTCCACTAGGTTTACAAACAAATGCATCAATGTTTAACAAGAACTACACAAGGATAAATCCGGCTTTTCAACTTTCTGATAAAACGCGACATCGAAGAGGGCGAAACATCCGAGAAAGTAGAAATTTTTAAGGGCCATTGAATTTTTATACCCTTTATATACATCTTTGGTCTGTTTAATAGTTTCATTGATAAGCAAGCATGAGGAGGGGCAGAATTCTCCGTGTCACTCTGGTTTTACAAGAGGCCACTTATCATGCACATCAATGCCTGCAAAGTTCTGGCCTAATGAAAGCCAACAGCAAAATCAATAAGAACTGCATAAATATGACTCTCAAACTTTTTCCAGACATGCAACTATGAACAATTCTTTCCAAACTAAGATTATACAAGTGAATTCAACTGTGCAAAGGTTGATATCGAACATGAAACTGGTGCACACACAAACCATTCAACGGCCACATTAATTGCAATACCCCAACCGAACTAGAACAGATTAATGAATAGATGCATATATCAATAGTGTTTCAGCTGGAAAAAGGGACCTGCTCAAAGTGCCATCTCAGCCTGCAAAGCTGCCAATTCATCTTCCTCAGCAGTGGGCTTCGAAGACACAGGACGAGTGGGTTGACGCCCAGCTGGAACATGCACTGGGGCTGCTGGAGCTGTAGTTGCGGGTTGAAGAAGCTGTTCTTCCAATTCAGCACCCTCCAGCTCTTCAAGTTCTGCTTCCAATTCATCCTGAAATGGCAAACAAATTTATATTTAAGGATGCTGCCCAGACATGTGACACAATGCATTATATATATGCTCGGTAATAACTAAATCAAAAGTTTTTTTTTTTTTTCAATTGCATTGTGCACAAATAAAATTAAAGCTTGAGAAAACGACCTCGTCAAAGTCAGCAGCTGCACCAATTGGAGTAGACAATGCTTCCTGAATTTGTTTCATGTTCTCTGTCTGTTCGTTGATCTCATCCATAGTCTTGTCGACATCATCAATATTCCTGAGAAATAAATACCGCAACTCAACAATGTCATAATGAGCAGCCCGTTATGCAAGATGCATTAAACAATACATGCATGGACATTTTCCACATCACAGAAAACACAGTAGACTTATCAGGTTTTCAAAACAAGCCTAAAACAGAGATGTAAAATATGGAAGAGCATATTAAGAATTAAGAATAAAATCACAATATACATACGTGGCTTTTTGCATAGCCTTCATTGCCGCTGCTCCAGTTCTCAATGCATCAACTGTTTCTGTGGTTGCCTTGGCACCTTCTAACATTATCATCTGTAACACAAATGATCAGCATAGGATATAAATGATACTCCAAATACTAAATCAAAATCATACCCACATAATTGTCAGAACTAGAACACAGTGGCTGCAAGGACTGGAAAAACCAGGAACTGATCCAACCAATCCTCCAAAATAAGATTTCAAAAATCATTAAAAAAAAATGTACTAGGCTTGAACAAGCTGACCCATGACCCATGTGAACTGTACTAGTTGACATGACAGATTAAACAAGTCCCTTGAAAATTGTAAAAAAACTTTCTATACATTATTGATTATTTAGTTCCCAATTTATAACCAAACCAAAGTTTTTCTTTTCCTACTTTGTCCAACGTGAGACAAATAATAGCCTGTACTGCAATGAGTTTGGCTTACTGTTTTCGTTGATACTAGCATATATTATAAAATTATGTTAATATTAGTACATTATTTTTAGTTTAATAATTATTAATATAAAAATGCATACATTTATTATACTCAACCCTTAACTTTTCTTTTTTTAATGATTCAAATGACTGGCACAGTTTCAAAAACATTTGTTGTAACTGCTGAATGTAAAGTGCATTCACACCTGGTCATGAATACGCAGCTGGAAATTTCCAAGCTGCTCTATTTGCTGTTCATATAGCCTCTTCCTCTTCAAACATTGTATAGCCGCTGCATAAAACAGGAATTCAAAAACAATGTAACAAATAATTAATACATCATTGATTCAGTAAAATAGTGTACTATAAATGGCAATGGTAATGGGGTTAAAACCATGCTGCATTAGGGGAATTCCACACTCAGCTTTGTGACTCCATTTCTGATTTTTTTAATTTTATTTTAATATGAAAAGTTGAACAAAATAATAAATAGGTAAAGTAGTTTTAATTTACGATATTTTTTTTCAAATAATCTGGTTGTCTCTCATTTGCCAATAAGCTCATTGTTGTCAAAATTGCCTCCAACGAACAGGATTCTGAGATCTAATGTGTTTTATCCTCCCAATCAACCTGCACTCCACCAGAAAACATTCTATGGTTGACTCATGCTGGATCATTGCTCCAAGTCATGGAATTGTTGGATTGCCGCACTCCAGAAATGAGTTTGCAGCAGTGAACAATCCAAGTTGGGTCAAACAATCCTTTAAAAAGAAACCCTATATTTTTATTTAATTCCCTAAATTATGGTTTGCTTGTACGACCTCCATTGTCATCCTTTGACACTCTTCTCTATTTCTCCCCTTAACTGTTGACCCTTTGTATTTCTTCCCCTGGTGCGATTTTTTATGCATACATTTTAGTTAGATCATACTATTTGCATTACAAAACTACACCCCTCTTCCATTCAAAACATTGAAACTCGTTCTTGATACCCTTGACTAAGCTACTGTTAAAAATAACAGGAAAAAGAGATGATAACTTAAAGCCTAATGGCTGATTAAAAATAAGTCAAAGATGATTTTTTATAAAAAAAAATGTGAGAGAAGCCAAAGAATTGAATTAAAAGATAGACAGTGACTGAGTGAGAGATCCAAGGTGGGTAGAGGCACAACTAGATGCTGCATAACTGAGGCACAACCTAGAGAAAACGAGAAGAAACTAAAAGATGCTTAAAAATTGGGTAACAAGTGCACAACTAGAGTGCAATAACTGGTAATGGCAGCAACAACGCACAGTTCAGTATTGGCATGAGGTGAATCTCGTGTAGTTATAAAGGAGGGGTCCGGCGGCACACAACTGAGTGATTTTCAAATGGGGCATAGGTCACAAATGACAGCGAGCATTACAATGAAGGAGAAAAAGTTTTAAATTTTTTTCTCAGACCATGTTAAACAACCTGACATGGTAATCTTGGCTGCACTCCACCTCTCTGGGATCGACAAGCCCAGAATTAAACACATGGTAAATTGCAAATCGCGATCACAGAGAAGCTTCGGCAGTTCAGCTTGCCAGGGGTCCTTTGATGTGTAAAATTTTACAATCTTATGAGGCTGATTGCTACTTTAACAATACTGCATCCAATCTTATAATGGAATTGCCTTTCACATTCCAATGAACCTAAACAACTTATAGTTCATTCCATCTCTCACCATCCTGATTTTGTGAGGCCAAAAATCTTGTTGAGAAGCTTGACATGTTATTCTTGATGAAACTATCATAGCACAAAATTTTGACCAAAGCATGCATTCAAAATCTCAGCAGTAACACAAATACCAGTGAATAGGGAGGAAGACGGCATTGTATGCTTCAATGGTATTGTCTAGAAAAAGCACATGAGTTTTGCTACATACCCCTTTTATTCTTTGCTCGTGTGAATTCTTTGGCTCTTTCAACTTCTGCTGCAGCCTTTTTAAGGAGTACTTTCTCCTTTTTCTCTAGCATTTCAAGTGTCTGCAGCATTCAAGACTCAAAACATTCAAAACGAGAAAAAAGTAACCTCAAACTGTAAATAACTGCAGAAAACAAACACTAAAATTGCACACATTGATCTTTACCTGATCAAAAAATGTTTATAAATACTTATGCAAAGTTAAACCACAGAAAAACACTAAGTTTCAGCATAAAATGCAGGATTTAACAAGGAAAAATAAGATAATAAAAGCCGAACATGGCTACTGAGGCTGTGTCTCAGACAATGATCTGGATATATGTAGTTTATTCACGTAATTAAGAAATCAATCAATTTCCAGAACACTAACAGAAAAAGAAAAGATTATAAAAGGGACAAGAATGTGCCTTCTACTCCTTCAAATCGTAAACAGCATTATAATGCTGTAAAAGAATTCACACATGCAAGACGACTCTTGATTGAATATGCAGCACATGATATTCAACAACCACAGTACACAGGAAATCCGTTTCTTCGTAGTTCCAATGAAGATAACGCTGCTTATCAATTAAGAAAATAATAAAACTAGCCTGAATTGCAATATAAATATAACAAACGCGTAATTTGAAGAAGCAGCAGTTCTATTTATCATACATGCACAATTCACAAAACAATGTAAAAAAAAGAAGAATCTTCCAATTGGGAAAGTGAAATTACCTCATTTAACTTGTCCAAAGTGGTTAGAGTATTGGCTTCCTGTTTCGGTTTGCCAAAAATTCGGGTAAACATGATTGATTAAGAGATGATGAAACAGTGATACCCTTTATGCGTCGAATAGGAAAATCAACGGGACGCTACCAATTCGCCAACCGATCTCCCTGGAACATCAAAAAGATCCATCGAAATCGAAAAATTGTTGAAAAAATAAATATAAGAAAAGAAATAGAACGATGGAGTTGAAAGAAAAGTGGAGATGAACGAACCTGTTGAAAAATTAGGTCTTTTAAAATTAAAAAAAAAAAAAAATTGTGGTACATGAAGATTGTTAGAGTTATATATGATGAAATAGGGAGAGATGGAGGAAGAAGGCGTACCGTGAAGGGTATTGGGAAATTCAGAAATTGAATCCAATCGAAGAAAAATAAAATAAAAAGTAAACAGAAATTGATTTGCTTCGTTCTTTCTTCGATTTCTTGACTCCTCCACGTAGCGTGCAACTAATTGTGGGTCCAAGACAAATTCATAAGTGCTCAATTTTGTATTTTTCTTATTCCTTTTATTAGTAATAAGAAAAAAAAACTTAAATATGTTTTAATTCATGCAAACATGTCTCATTTTAATTTGTAAGAATTTTTCAGTTCATCTCTTTTAATTTTCCTTCTTTATAGTTCTTACAGTTTTTTTTTAAGGGGAATTATAGTTCTTACAGTTATTCATCCTAATTACAGTATTTTAGCAGGGCACGACTAAATAAATTAAGATAATTAAAAAATGTTTTAAATTAAAATAACTAGATTATTTTTAAGAGAATAATTTAATTAAATAATATATTTATTATTATTTATAAATAACAAAAATAAATATATTTTTATAATTTATTTTAATTTTTAATATGTTATGAACATTGTTTTTTTTATTAATTTTAATATTTTAAAGTAATAAAAATTATTGTTCATAAAATATTAAAATTAAAAAATATAAAAATAAACTATATGCAATTATTTTATTTATATAAAATAATAAATAAATTACTTAATTAAATAATGTAGCCTAAAGCAACATAATTATGTTGATTTAAATGTTTTTTATTATTTTAATATTTTTATTTTGTTATTTATATGATTATATCCACGCTAAGTTAGCTAACTAGAATTAATGATACGGGATTTAAAAATTACAAAAAAAAAATATGAAGACTAAAATGAGATAGAAACATATTTGTTAAAACTTAAAACATATTTAAGTAAAAAAAATTTGTCCACTTATATATTTATTTAAACTTTATGCATGATTTGATTTTTTAGAGTGTTTTTTAATCTAAGAAAAAATAATATATAATTAAGGTAAAAACTAAAACATAAATTTAAAAATATTTATATATGTGATTGATTTAAATAGTTTTAAAATGAATTGGTAGAAAAAGTTCAAAGTAAAAGATTTCAAAAATTGAATAAAGCATAAGTTTATCATAGTATAATATTATATTATTATTATTATTATTATTATTATTTAATATATAAATTTAATTTTTATATAAGAAATAATGTGTTCGATAAAAATAATAGTTTAGTGTATATTAACGAATTAAGTTCATCTTGTAAAAGAAAGGATTAAGTTTATTTAATATGAGATAACTCAATACTAGTGACGCAATGTGCAGGAAGTTAATTTCAGTTGTAACTTATATATTGTGAGTTGGATTAATAATTTTGTCCGAGTTAACTTTTCATTTTAATATTTATACTTAAAAAAATGGGTTTTAATTTTTATAAGAGCTTTTTTTAATTATATTTTGATCATTGTTATTATTTTATGGTAAAAAAAACTATCATAAAATAGAAGTTTAAAAACTAAAATGAGAAAAAAAAAACATATATATACTGAACTGTAAAAAAAATATTTATAGAAACTAAAATGAAAAAAATAGTGTAAGGATAAAGATATGATTAATTAAACTTATAAAAAATCATATTTAAATAATTATATCTTAATTTTAAATTTACAATAAGAAAATTTTAATGATTTAATGTTTAAGATATTTTGTGGTAAAATTGCTTCTGATAGTTTTACTCAGCATAAACACGATTGTTAGTAGAAAAAAATATTGTGATTTACAATAAAAAAATTAAAAAATCATAACTTACGATTCTTTTTTTTAAATGAATAACGTATATTTCATCGCGTTATTGTATCAAATAATTTGTTACGTTTATTTCAACTACATGCATAGATTATTTTAATAATTTATATAATATAAAGTTTTATTAAAATAATTTTAATAGATTAAAGTTTAACCAAATGATATATATATATATATATATATATATACTTATAAAAAATAATAACTATGTTGGAGAGTAAATAAATACACATTTAATAATTTTAATTAATTATCTCCTTATCATAAAAATTTATGTAAATAAGGTAATAGAGTTTTTTTTTACAAGAATATAGGATATGTCTTTAAATAATAAAAAAATGTATTATTTATGATTGTACTTACAACACGTTTTACAAATAATATTTTTAGGTGTGCCGGTTAGATATTCATTCGGTTTTGAATATAAATAATAAAAAATATATTTTACGTTAATTAAAAAATTATTTATCTCATTTGATTTTGTTAATCTCAACTAAAAAGTAATTTAACTTTCTAAGTTATCATTTCTTAAAACTTAGTATTAAGAATTAAAAAAAAAACATTGAAAATGTCATTTTAGTTAAATGAAGTATTTTAAGAATGTCAACATTAAATATGTTGAGATTATGTTGCTTATATTTAAGACTAACAAATATGAGATTTTTGTTACTTATTTAATTAATATTTTTTTGTTTGAATCAAATTTTAGAATGGAAATAGAAGATAACTAAATCTCTCCTTATCTAATTTTAGCTTCCTTCTAATATTAGAAAATTTGGAGGTGATGTGAAAAATTTTAAATTATTTTTAGTATAATATATAAAATATTTTATATACATTTAAAATTTAAGATTATAAAGATATAAAGGTAAATTGATTTTTTATTTTTTATTTCTCTTCCATCCTTTTCATATCTTGGGTTTCCAGTTTTTTATACTGTTGTGAGATCTTTGCCAACCTTAAAGTGTAATTGTGAAGTTTTTTATGGACTTCATAAAGCTTCACATAATGATATTTACAACCTTATTTGTGAATCAAATTTACTTATAATCTTGAAGTTGATAAAGAAAAATGATAACGTTTTCATCTAAATTATTTACTTATAAAGAGGATTCAACACTTTTTATTTTTTTAAACTAGATCATTAGCTTTGAGCATATCTTTCGAGAAGTTGATTTGTATGTTGATTTATTGGTTAAGTATGGTGCCACATAATTATTTTGTTTCGCTTTTGCTAGCTAATGACATGAATGTCTTACATATTAGAGTGTGTTTTTTTTTTCTTCTGTCATTATATTTTCTAAAGCATACAAAAAATTGTCTCTCACCTTCTTAATTTAACAAAATTTTTAATTCCTCTCATTTCCCCCCTCTCCTCTCCTACTTATCAAATAGATTTTAATGTAAAATTTGAGCTAAATCGATGACTTAATTATATAAAAAACTATGATAGTATAATAAGTGTTTCTCGTTGTAATTTGAAATTTCATTGTGTAATTATTATACTGGACAATTATTTTAATTTTCTCTAGTAAAATGTTACTTTTATCCAAGGAAATTTTGCAAACCTTTGCTTAATTAGTAAAATTTATTTTCGAAACATTTTTCCATCATTGTTATTTTATACCTAACAATATTAAATTGACTCTCATCTTTAAAAATAGACTTGACAACTATTAGATCAAGAAGTTTGATTCAACAAATAATTTTTAATTACTGTCTAATATTTTTTGGTTTTCAATTAACTTTTTAATTACGCTTATCAAACATAAATATCAAATTAAAATAATTGTATAATATTATGCTTGTTTAATTAATTATTCATAACATATAATCTCAAGAAAGTAACGAAAAGTAAAGTGATTAACTAAATAGTATGTTTTGTAAAATAAAAAAATATTAAAATACTATGCAGCAATTTATAGATGTACTACTAAAAAAAAATGCTAACGAAATTCTTACAAATATTAACCATGGGGTCAATGATTAAAAAAAAAATACTCCTTAACTTTGTTTGTCGGCCAAGCAATTGGATTTGGACCAAGTTTTTCCCATTGTCCAAATTTAAAATCAACTTGACATTGTTTACCCAAACCGAATCCATTGTGTGAACCCAACGGAATATCTTAGTAACTTGGAGTGGATTCTACTCAAGAAAATAGAAAGAATAAAATATATTTATAATTACGGGTAGAAAAAAAAATTTATTATTTGTATGAGCATTTATTTATAAACAGGTTCACGTCAAAATGAAAATAAATTAGAGAATTACATAATATAAATAAAGATAAAAATTATTCATGTAAAAATGAATACAAGATAAATAAATAAATAAAAAATTGACCGCTGAAATCTCAATAATGAATACATTAATTTTTAAACTATTAAATATTTAAAAAATAAATAATATTTTTATATATATAAAATTTGATCTTAAATCTTAATATATATATATACTTAAAATTAATTTTACTCATAAAATAAATCAAATTAGTAAATGTACATTAAAATAAAAAAAAAAAAAAATTAACTGGTATAAATAAAATATTTAAAAATATAAAAACTGAAATTAAAATAATAAAAAAATTTAAATCTCGAGCCTCGTTAAAACATTAAGACGCGTAAGTCGTAACATCCTCTCTTGTATAAAATCAGGTGGGTGAGTGAATCTTAAAATTGAAACTGTCCAATTAATATTCCCTGTCACCACCCAAAATAAAAAGACACATCACAATTTCGCACTCAAATTTAGGGTTTAATTTTTCACTCAGCAAAGAGACTTTCCACCGCGGCACTCGTTCCCGCCGCCGTCAACACCAATGGCAGACGCATCCTCTCCGCCGACAGACCAGCTCGCCGCTGCCACCCTCGACGAGGTCCCCAAGGCGCTGTTCTCCGACCGCGTCCCCATCCGATCCATCGTCTCCCGCCCCGACGGCGGCTCCGCCCTCGCCGGCCGGAAGGCGCGCGTCGGCGGCTGGGTAAAGACAGGAAGGAAAGCCGACAAGGACGCCTTCGCATTCCTGGAACTCAACGACGGAAGCTGCGCCGCCAACCTCCAAGTCATCGTCGAAGCCTCGCTCGGCGACCTTGGGCAAATCGTCCCCACCGGAACCTGCGTCGTCGTCGACGGCCACCTCAAGCTTCCTCCCGCCGGCACCAAACAGAAAATCGAACTCCGCGCCGATGAGGTTCTCCACGTTGGCCCCGTCGATCCCGCCAAGTATCCTCTTCCCAAGATGAGACTCACTCTCGAGTTTCTCCGAGATTTCGTTCACCTTCGTTCCAGAACCAACACTGTATTTTTCTTTTCCCTAATTAATTCTAAAATTGTTTATCAATCTATTAATTAAAACTTTACTGTATTATTGTGTTTTTTTTTTTTTTTTTTTTTTTTATAGTAACTACATTACAGTTTGAGCTAACATTATTGTAACTTGTTCTGGAATTCGATTAATTAGGTTTTGTGTGATTGCAGATATCTGCGGTGGCTAGAATTAGGAATGCTCTTGCGTATGCCACGCATACCTTTTTCAACAGGGAAGGGTTTCTGTATGTGCACACGCCTATTATTACTACGAGTGATTGTGAGGGTGCGGGTGAGATGTTTCAGGTGACGACATTGCTGAGTGAGGCGGAGAGGTTGGAGAAGGAGTTGTTGGAGAATCCGCCTCCGACGGAGGCTGATGTCGAGGCGGCTAGGGTTGTTGCTAAGGAAAAAGGAGAGGTTGTGTCTCAGTTGAAAGCTGCTAAGGCGAGTAAGCAGGAGATTGGGGCTGCTGTGGATCAGCTTAAGAAGGCGAAAGAGAGTTTGGCTAAGGTGGAGGAGAGGTCGAAGCTTAAGCCTGGGATCCCTAAGAAGGATGATGGGAAGGTTGATTATGGGAAAGATTTCTTTGCACGTCAAGCATTTTTGACGGTTTCGGGTCAGCTTCAGGTTGAGTCATATGCGTGTGCTCTCACTAGTGTGTATACCTTTGGCCCCACGTTTCGTGCAGAGAATTCTCATACTTCTAGGCATTTGGCCGAGTTTTGGATGGTAGAACCTGAGATTGCGTTTGCGGAGTTGAAGGTATATGATACTTTTAACTCAGACTTGAGCATAATCATGATTATGTTAGTTGTTGTTGGTGGTATGCTTATCAGCTGAATGTTGATACTTGATCCAAATATTTGAATTTTAGTTGGGGTAATAAAGTTGGTAGTTTTCTAGTGCAATGTTGAGCTGCCATTTCACCTGTGCTTATAGTGTTTGGTGCCTTTGCTTTTCTTGTGGTGGAAGTAATAAAGTTCATGGTTTTGTGCTTTTTTGTGTAGGATGATATGAACTGTGCCGAGGCATATGTGAAGTTTATGTGCCAGTGGTTACTTGACAACTGCCTTGATGATATGGAGTTTATGGCTGATAAGTTTGATAAAGGTTGCATTAACCGTTTAAAATTGGTTGCTTCCACCCCCTTTATCCGGGTTACCTACACAGAAGCAGTGGAAATACTAGAAGAGGCTGTGAAGAATGGTAAGAAATTTGAGAATGAAGTGAAATGGGGAATTGACTTGGCATCTGAGCATGAAAGGTACTTTTAAGTTTACTTATTTCTGTCTAGTTCTTGTTCTTATTTATTGATTTGTGTTGTGATATATTGGGGGATGGTGTTATGCAGATACCTAACAGAGGTGAAGTTTCAGAAGCCTGTGATTGTCTATAACTATCCAAAAGAAATCAAAGCATTCTACATGCGGCTGAATGATGACTTAAAGACAGTGGCTGCTATGGATGTGCTTGTACCAAAGGTATGACTCCTGTATATTTTATTTTCCACAAATCTATAGAGTTCATGGCTATTGATGATAATATGTTCAGAGATACCCAGTGACTTATAGAAACATGTAAATATAATTTTAGGTTGGAGAGCTAATTGGTGGAAGCCAAAGGGAAGAACGCTATGATGTCATTCAGACAAGGTAAATATAACCGTTTACTTTGTCTTTTCTTAATTTCGTTGCTTTATTTAAAAGGATTTTGCAGTCCTTAGAAGTTATTTGACTTTTTTTTGTCGTGTTTTATTTTGTAGAATAAAGGAGATGGGTTTGCCTCTTGAGCCATATGAGTGGTACCTTGATCTGAGGCGATATGGAACGGTGAAGCATGCTGGATTCGGCCTTGGCTTTGAAAGGATGATTCTCTTTGCCACTGGTTTGGAGAATATTAGAGACGTGATTCCCTTCCCACGATATCCTGGCAGAGCAGATCTATGATCTTTATTTACTGATTACAATTCTCTTGCATGAGTAGTTAAAGTTGAAAATTGAAATGTAGTAATTAAATATAGCATTTAAATTATTTTTGTTGAGTGGCCGTCTTGGAGATTCCTCTTTCCCGATCTACTAATGTTTAAATGATGCTGGCTTTTATATGTTACTTACTTTTTGTCTCCAATTTGACGTTGATTTCATTTATTTATTGAGGTTTAAAGCAACTCTGTTCTGCAAAGGACCTGCAATACTCTATTCAGTGTGGGGATTATGTCAATCTTGATTATGCATTTTACAGAGCCTCCTTTAGCATTTGCATCCAATTATCCATATTCGTTATCTAATTTCGCATTTACTATTTAAAATATCGTATTTTAGTCGTTGTATATAATTATTTTTAAGGTTTTAATTAATTAAATGTGTATTTAAAAGTCAAATGTGTATTAAGATAAAATAAATAATAAAATTAGTGTAATATTTTTTTTCGAAGAAAAGTAGTGTAATAATTAAAAAACATAAAAACTAGTATAAAGATAGAATTATATAAAATACTGAGGGCGCTTAAAAATGGGAAAAGTTGTAAGCTCCTGCTATTTTAAACAATATCCGAAAAATATTATAAATTAGTAAAATAAGTTCGCTTGCAATTTTTTTTATAAAAAACAAGTTAATAAAATTAATTATATATTAATTAACACAACCAATCAAAGACAATAATGCTGGAAAAACCATTAAATTTCGATCTCAAATCATCCTTTTATCACAGATCTGGGGAGTTTTATCTTCCCCAAGTGATAAAAATACCCTCCACTGATGTAACATGTAGAATAGAAAGATTAATCGACTAATTCATTTGTGTAAATGTAGACGTCTATCGTATGTAGGATGAATTGAAATGGATGAGTGAAAGAGAAGAAAATAATAATAGTAAAATAATAATAATTGTGATGTGTTATGATGAGAAAGGAAAATAAATATAAAAAAATAGGATGGAAATCAGATGGAAGAGAAGGTATTTATATTTATAATTACTCGATTCGTTTTGTGGTTAATAATAAGCCAATAAATAGTAACTTCGATTTAACAATTGGTTAACAGAAAATGCAATCATTGGGGGAAAGATAACATTGTATAATTGTAACAATAAATAAAATTTAAATATATTTTTAGTATCTATAAAATTAACAAATTTTATTTTTCTCTTTATTTTTTATTGTTATAAAATTAAAATTATTATTTTTAATTTTTATTTTTATGTAATTATTTTTAACCACTTTTTATTTATTAAAAAGTTAAGTATTATCTTAAGTTTAATACTTCTAAAAAAAATTTATAGGTCCTTAAAATAAATGTTATTTATCTACCTTAAAATGATTATTAGAGATTAAAAATAATTAGTTTAAATTTTAAAGAGGTGAAAATTAAAGAAAAATATTTTATAAGGATTAAAATCAAAATTTAATATTTTATAAGGATAAAAAATAATGTTTATAAATTTTAAAATAATGAAAAACAAAAAAAATATTTTAGAGAAACTAAAATCAAAATCATCAATTTTATAGAAATTAAAAACATATCTAAAACAATAAATAATTATTCATGGCCTGTAATTACGGACAAGAAGTTTCCGATGGAAAAACAAGAAGACAGATAAAAACACGGAACTTTGGGCAGCCTAGTTAAGATTTTTTCGCTTTCATGCCCTATTCCAAAATCGACTTGGAATGATCTACGAAGGAATAAATAACCGCATTGTATAGCTATTTGATCCTTGGAAATACGGAACACAATAAAACACATATCTCAACGCAATTTTCCAAAAGCAAATGCTAAAACTATCATCAAAACATTGACACAGAAGTGATTTACTCAGTTAACCAGTAAAGCTAAACTATTTTCAAATACAGGATCTAAAACTGTTACTAACTCCTTGTCACAAAAACAAATGACATTACCTCCAAATGTCACCTTAACTCCTATTAGCTGGTCTCTAATCTGGTTACTGTTCTCATCTTCATCAACTGCTTTTATCTAACCAAAGGAAATCCGAAAAAAGAGTAAACTGAATCCACAAAAGAAATAATCTCCTTTCCGTCCTGTCGGCTGATAAGGATATTATGGTCAATCCATATGATATACTGAAAATAGTTGATACTTTTTCGCGTCATTCTGCTCCAACACGCTTTTTTGGTGCATTCCTTCATCACGTAGGCATAACATCATTCTAGCTTGCTTTGTAGGAATACATGTATCCACGAAGCTTTCTTACCTCTTCTGATGACTCAGTTAGTAAATGATCCACATAGAGGCAGATCGCAGCTGCACTGCAGCATAGTAAAGAAGCAATGCACTATTTAGTTAATGCTCACAAAACAAAACAAATCATATAGGAACAAAGCATGGCCTACCTAAGAGGACCAAATGGTAGCCAGAGAACATCCCAACGAAACTTTGGCAACCTACCAAAAAACTCGTTATATTATTTAACAGTAAACGATGAGCAGATGGCAGAAAACATAACTGAAGAGTGTGTGTGAAGCAGTTGTAAACAATTTATTTGTGTTCCATACTACTATTACTTGAGTAGAATGTGTACAAGCCTCTTTTTTTTCTTCTTTTTTCTGCTTTATTTGGGCCCAATAGTAGAGCCTCTTGATTCATGTAGCTAGAATATCCAAACTGAAAATACATACTGAATACCAATGCCCATAGTTTTGTAATATAAAATATATTTCCTTTCACTTTTGTAAATTTATCAATATGCAGAATCCATTAGGGTGCATATAAAATGGCACCAATCAGTGGCTATCCAGTAACTTTACCTCAACATGTAATATAACCAGAAAATTGCCAGAATAACGCCAGTGTACCATGAGTACTTGATCCATCTCGTGCGAAGCATTGACTCATGAAGCAGTCCTATGATGGCAAATGAGCATGCTAAAACAGCCACCCAATCTGTAGAAGTTATTCAATGAAAAAAGTTTACAGCCATGGTCCAAATAATATGTGGATGACATATATCATATCTCATAGTCAGTTGCAAATTAATACACGCAGATAATGAAAGCAAATAATATAAAAGCACTAATATCCACAACTCTGACAAAATGATAATACAATGAGAATCAAGGAAAGAGCAAAGAGTCTTGACAAGAGAAGTAAACCTGCAGATATAATCATCCACGAGTAGATCTCCTCCATGAAATAAGCATGGTATCGCTGTTTATCAAAGAGCAAAGAAAATTAGCTAAAAATATTTTGATGTTAAAAATCTGGAAAAGAGTAAAACGCAGAGCCTTTCCACATAAGTCAAATTTTAACATAATCAGGAGAAGGGGTTCAATTTTTACAACTCACAACAGAAACTAGAATACTTGTAAAATCCCACAAAAATCACATTCTGGTAACAAAATAAAAGAATTGCATGAACAGAATGCTTACAATCTCATATCACATGCAATGAAACCTAGCGAGACCATTTGTTACAAGATAAAAAACCTCCTTCAATATAAATTATCTAAAGATTTGTTTGGATAAACTTCTCCATAAACACTTTTAGGAGAAAAAAATATAAAGAAAAATGAAATAACCTTTTTCCATAAACTAAAACTAACTTATGCATAAGTTAATTTTTTTATTTATTTAAAGAAGATGAAATGAGAGGGCTTTTACAAATGCATAAGCTAAAGTATTTCATTTTACTTTCCTATTTTTTTCATCTAGAAGTAGAGAAGTATATCTAAACATATACTAGTTTTTATTTTCATCGATTCTTCTAGCGGACACCAATTCACAACATGATAAAGTTCAGTGCATAATATAGCAAAAACTGTTGAACATACCAGTTCCCAGGGTGATGAAGCCTGGTGGAAAATGGAGTACAAAAGAAAGACAATATAACAGAAGAATAGAGTTGCAAATACCGTCTACATAACAAAAACAAAAAAATTGAAGTTAGCATGATTCCAATAGGTTAGAGAATTGAATGAAATAATGTGTAACAAGTAAAAAAGTGTGTACCCTCCATAAGCGACTCTGTTGAGCTTGACTCCTTTCTAAGGAACGAACCAGTTCTTCTTGCTCTGTGCATAAAAATCTAAGTCTTCATTAATTAGATGACACCCAATTCGAATTTAAGAAACAAAATGAAATATTTTTTTAGATGTAATCGAGAATAGTTGAGGAAGATCGTACCTTGAGAGTCCAAGGGACGAGAATCGCCGTCGTGAATCGGAAGGGAGAGGGTTTCATCTTCCGCATTCCCCAACTTCCTTGCG